TGCCTTATGTTTGGCTTTTTTCCTGATCCTTTCCCAATTCCAAACCATGGAAATTGGGGGTTCCATAGAAGTCACTTTGCTATCATTATGACTTTCCTCCTCCACTTACAGGCTAACTTCCTTCAGCTTCTTCTCAGCACAGCCTTGCAGTTGCTTGCTGGTCTCTGTGTTGGCATCCTGCTGTTTTGCTATTTGGGCTATTTTTGTCTCCAAAGCATTGATGGAAGACTTTTAAGAATTGAGACCACTCTTCATTTCCTACAGCTGAGTCGCCCATTCCTTGTTTTGATGCTCACGCTGCTGGCAAGCCTCTTCATTCTTCTCATCATTGTTCTTCTCTGTGTTCAGGTCTGTGTCTATGTATTCTTCATGTTCTTCACATCAACATTTCCTGTCCTTCTAATCCATACGCATCATGCTCAGCATTGCTTCCAATTTGCTTTTTCACTGCAAACCATATACTGTATTAAAACACTTGTTGCAAGTATCCTCTTTCCTCTCCTCCCATTGTCTACTCCAGGGGTAGTCAACCTTGGCTCTTTTATGACTCGTGGACTTCAACTCCCAGAATTCCTGAGCTCAGGAATTCTGGGAGTTGAAGTCCACAAGTCATAAAAGAGCCAAGGTTGACTACCCCTAGTCTACTCCTTCTCTTCTTTGAGACATTAGCTTTGATCCATCTTCTCATCTATGTAAAATTAGCATCACTGGGTAATTATTTTCCTGGTGAAAGGGCTGCACAGAATTTCTACCTCAGGTTGATTTTCCTACAAGAGATAAGACAATCTTGGAATATTCAAAATATTTTTAAGAAAAAGATAACGTTTACACCGTGGTTATTTTTGCTAGGTATTATGGAAGATTTGGATGCTAAAGAAATGAATTTGATGTTGAATCTTATAACAGCTGCAAGATTACTGGTAGCGCAATATTGGAAGAAAAATTCTTTGCCTACTATGGAAGAATGGAGAATTAAGGTGTCTAATTTAGCAGAAATGGCAAAAATTTCCGCTTATTTGAAGGATCAATCTCAAGGAAAATATATTTTGGTGTGGAGAAGATGGATTTACTATATTCAGAAAAAATACGAGATTGAAAAGTATTACTTAGCTTATGAGTAAATTTTAGAATATTATTAATAGTTTATTATGGATGAATTTATATTATTTTTAGTAATAATGTTTAATTATATTATTATTTTGCTGGTAAAGTGTTAAGATCTATCTATTTTGTAGAGTTAAAGTATGTATGAGACTTGATTGTAGTATATCTGGGTAATGTTATTTAATTTATGATTCTGTTTTTATAACCCTGTAACCAGCTCTGGGAAGTGAAGGGGGGAGGGGAGGGAGGAAAGTGGGATATTGTATGGAAAATTATTTAAAACTTTTAATAATAAAAAAAGAGATAAGACAATATTCAATAATCTTCAACAAACAGTAGAAATATGTTGGGATTTCAAATCTCCAGAAATTCCAAACCATGTGGATTATATAATCCTTCTCCAATGTTCCCATAAATATTTTTTTATAATATCCTGGGCCATCTGTGCTCCCAGGTAGAGCTTCCGCTCTGGGAAACATATAAATGATCAAACTTTCCGTAGGGCTTTAAATGTGGGAACAAAACTCACCGTTCAGAGAAGATATTTACTCTCCTGAGTTCTTCCCTCTCTTGGTTCATTTTGGTTGCCAAGCCAAAACTTGTGGTGTCCTCTAGTCCTCTGCCTCAGGAAGGATTGTGAAAGGAGTTTAAATTGCTCAAATGTTGTGCTGCTTCTGCCTAAGGCTGCTCAGAGGAAATAAGGAAGCTTGTACACATGAAAGGTATACGGTACTTGAAACTTTGCCATTTCATCATCCGAAGAACCAGTTTGGTCTAGTGGTTAAAGCAACAGACTAGAAAGCTGGAGGCTGTGAGTTCAAGTCTTGGGTAACTTGGGCTAGTCACTCTCTCTCAGCCCAACCCACCTCACAAGACTGTTGTTGTGGAGAAAATAGGAGGAGGATGTGTTGGATATGTTCACTGCCTTGGTGAAATAATCATAAAGGCAGGATGCAAATAAAAAATAAACTGAGCTAGTCAATGGTAACACAGTATAAGGTCTGCAAGATGGCCGTTCCTTTCTTTATTCTCCTTGATTCTTATTGTAATGCCAGAGATAAGGCATTGGTTGCCAAACAGCCTGGAATCCAAATCATTAAAAAATGGCTTTTCTAGGTTCTCATTTTCTTTTACTGTTCTGCTCTTTGCCCTTCAGTGGTCTTTTCATAGGGATCTCCCTATTTGTCTATGGAGATTCTCAGTCATCCAGGTCATGGTTGTCCCAAAGGTGTTTTTTTCAAAAAGCAACTGGCCTTTCTTTGTTTTTCCTTGAAGAGGTTTCGCTTCTCATCCAAGAAGCTTCTTCAATTCTGAAGAACTGAAAGCCCACTGAAAACTCTAACCCAGAAAAAGAATTGAAGAAGCTTCATGGATGAGAAGCGAAACCTCTTCAAAGGAAAACAAAGAAAGGCCAGTTGCCTTTAGGATCTCCTTATTTTTTCCTCTCTCTCCCATGTTTTTCTTGGTTTTCCCAACTTTTATTTCAAAGCCCTTGGAGTCAGATCTGGAACCAAAGCTTTATTCATGTTTGAGCCTGTTGCATTATTTTTTGCTCTTTTCACCACACAGAATGGAAAATGGAGATGGTCTGATGAATCCACCTACAACTACAAGGCATGGATGCTGGGAAAACCCAACTTGGGAACAAAGGAATATTGTGTTGAGTTGGTCCGTCCTGTACAAAAAGCCAATGTTCCTAAAGAGTCCTATCATCAATATGAAGAAGCACCCATCAGAGACCGTAGAGGTGAATATTTTAAACATATTGCCAGCAGGCTTCACTCTCCTGTTCAGTAAAATTCCTTGCCCTCAGCTGAACCACCTATGTGGTGGTGAACGAAATAGCACCTATTCTTGGAATAAGTGTGCATCAATCACAGTAGGAAGACCTTCAGAGCAAACCATAGAGAAGCAGGTCTAAATCTCATTTTCCTACATTCACCCTCATCTGGAGCCTATCAGTCAATGGCTGGCTTTAATGATGATGCTAAGTTATGGTTTGTTTTAATGTGGTTTGTTGAACAGGTTGCAGTGGTCTGGTTTACAAGGTTTAAGTTAAAAAAAAAACACTAAGTTTAAACCAAGCAAACCATATTAAGACTTTATGCATTTGAGAATTCAAGTAATAGCTCCTGAAATTAGTTAAACCTGTGGTCCAGGAGCTATTGGTTAGATCCCCTACCTTTCCCAAGTCCACTTTACTAGCACCAATAGCTGAGGGATTTGAAACTAAAAGAAAAGCAGTAGAATTTATTTCCATCAGAACTGAGACCTCCTTTTTTATTCTTTAGCAGTGGTCTCCAAACTTGGCAACTTTAAGACTTGTGGACTTCAACTCCCAGAATTTCCCAGGAAGGATTTTTGGGAGTTAAAATCCAGAAGTCTTAAAGGTGCCAAGTTTGGAGACCACTACTTCTTTAGGAAGAGAGAAACACAAGGAACACCATACATTAGTTGACCTTCAGCTTCTTTGGAGCAAGCTGTTTGCTTGGCTCTGTCCAAGGTCCTGAAATTGCAGAATGGGACAACTTGCCGCAGTCAACTTGCCAGGACCAACTTGCCACAGTCCACTTCCCATGCCCAATTTGCTGCGGCCAACTCATCATGGGAGAATTCAACAATTCAATTTAATTACTTAAAATAATTTTAAAAATATTTTAATTTTTGTCATTCACATTTCATTTTGTCCTTCCTTTGGCATCCTTTCTTTATTGATTATATCCCACCGTTTCTTCAATATTAGTGAAACTCTTGTCCCCTGGTGAGTTGTCCCATGGCAAGTTGGCCATGACAAGTTGTCCTGCAGTGAGTTGGCTGTGGAGAATTGGCCACAGCAAGTTGGCTGCAGCGAGTTGGCTGAGCCGAGTTGTCACAGACCCCTAAGATTGTAGCTCAGTCATCCATACCTCTTGCTACCTGGATGTAAATTACTAAACTGGTTAATCCCTTTATGATTTGTTATTTTATTTATTTTGCCATAAGTCCATAATGGCCTGATCTGGAACAGGGCCACTAGATATGGAGAACAGGAACTATCACTTTACTCATAGTGGTAGGAGTATGTTTTAATTAAGTGATATCAATGAACCCTTTTGTGGTAGGATGTTTTATATAAAAAAAGTATTGAGATGAAGATTAGGCTTTCCTGACCATGCATAATGGCATTGATTCAAGTCATATCCATCTTAAAATTAAAAACTAAAACAACAAACTAGAACAGGGTATTAGCTTGAATGTCCAGCAGAACCCATGAGTCTTGATTGAGAACAAGACAGGATATACAGTGCTTGGAATGCTGCATCTAGTTCTGGTCACCACAAAACAAAAAGATGTTGAGACTCTAGAAAGAGTACAGAGAAGAGCAACAAGGATGATTAGGGCTCTGGGAGCTAAAATATATGATGAATGTTTGCAGGAACTGGGAATGTCTAGAAGAGGACTAGGGTAACATGATAGCAGTCTTCCAATAATGGATGGAAAGAGAGATTCAATCTAGGCCTAAGAGCTGCGATATAAGGATATCTGCAAGAGGGACCTAAAGGCCTTGGGAATGGACATTAACAGCTGGGAATCCTTGACCTCTGATCATTCAGCCTGGAGGCTAAAGACGCAGCATGGCCTTCTCCAATTTGAAGAGACACTTGTGTGGCAAGCTGAGGCAAAGAGGCAGTCCCGGAACCAGCGAAATCTGGGGGCTGGACAGGGGACAGATTGTATCTGCCCTCAGTGTGGAAGGGACTGCCATTCTCGAATTGGCCTTTTCAGCCACACCAGATGCTGCCTTAGGACCTCTTTCCAGAGCACGATGCCATAGTCTCTCGAGACTGAAGGATGCCAGTGGTTAATGGTTGGAAAGAGAGATTCAATCTAGGCCTAAGAATAAATTTCCTGACAGTGAGAACAATTAACCAATCAAACGTCTTGCCTTCAGAAGTTGTGGGTGCTCTAATACTGGAGTTTCTTAAGAAGAGATTGGACAGATATTTGTCCACAATAGTATATGGTCTCGTGCTTAGTAGGGGGTTGGACTAGATGACAGTTGGAAGGTTTCTTCCAACTGTTATCCTGTATTATTATTATTATTATTATTATTATTATTATTATTATTATTATTATTATTATTATTATTATTATTATTATTATTATTATTATTATTATTATTATTATTATTATTATTATTATTATTATTATCTTGTATTGTAGTTAGAAATATTATGAAGTATGGGGTTAAAGCCCCTTTTCATTTTTAGTCCATTTTAGGATAATCATGCCTTGCTTTTTGAGTTATAAAGCTGGCTGGCTGTTATTCCATTCTTTAATCACAGCTTGTTCTTCTTCCTCGTAGATTTCACAAAATGGAATAACACGGCATGTCACAAACTGAATGCCTACATCTGCAAGCATGGATTGTAGGGAAGAGATCCTGATTCCAAAAGATGTGAGGTTCATGTGAAGTGAGCCTACAGAAGAATAACTCTGTCATCTTCAGTCTATCTCAAGACCTCATTTTTGAAGAGACATTATTTTAGACACAATTCATACAGATCATGCTGAATACAACTAATAGTACTTGGTATTAAGAGTTTCTGGTCTTGTGTTTGCATAAGAAATTTTAACAGGAAACTCTGGAAAAGCAGTTTTATATTCCGCACTGACAGTTATTTACATTTCAGATTCCTTGGGGAAGTTGCTTAATAGTTAAAATAATAAAATACCCATTTAACTTAATTATGTTGACATTTTCTTTGAGTCTTGATCATCCATACACTTTTCGCAAATTCCTTTCAGTGGAGTGGCATCAGTTAATGGAACAATTAAGGAATAAAATACATTATATGGCATGGACATGAACAATTTTCTCAATCATTTCATTTATTTCCTTCCCAGCATGATCAATTCCTGTGATGTTCAAGTTGAAGAATAGAAACAGATTTTTTTTTACATACAGAAGCTCTTGCTTATTTTCTGTTTGAAGTCAGTTCTTAAAATGTACACACATACACAAATAACACACATAATCTCTCTCTCTCTCTCTCTCTCACACACACACACACACACACACACACACACACACACACACACACACAGAGAGAGAGAGAGAGAGAGAGAGAGAGCGAGCACAAAAGGATACATTTCTCTTGTACTAATTGAAACAGTCGCCCTGACTCTACCCCAAATTAAGGGATTACAGGGTCATAAAAAGGGAGTATAGAATTAGACAACAATTTAAGTCATTTTTCTTAACAGTAAGAAAAAAGAAAGTAGCTATACATAGTCCAAACATTCAGATAATATTCCAATCATGACTCCCAGTATAAAATGTTTGTTCAACTCTAGAAAGAAAGAAAAGTACATTTTTCTGATCATTGAATAATAGAGAGAATCCAGGTGTCTTTTGAACCTTTTAATATTGTCCCCCCCATGCATAACATAAATTCCATTTCTGTTTATCCACAGGTAAATTTCCAAGTCACTGGTCTTTATCCCAATGGGAGTGGGGATGGAGAGGGATCTACAAAACTGAACCTGCCAGAATTAATATAAAAAATGAATCTGTCCAGAAGTGTTTAGAATATATGAACATTGTCTAAATATGCTCCTGTCATGTTTCCGATAGACAGAGACGAATAAAGCAGAACTCCAAGGCTTGTAACTTCCTCAAAGAACATGTTTATTGTTTACAAAGTATCAGCAAAGTCAAAAGCGAAACCAAGTCTGAAGTTCCCTTCAGAAGCAACAATATTACAAAGTTGAACTCCCCACCCCAGAGCTACACAATCAGCTACATTCCCCAATAGAAGAGTTTCATGGGCTTTCTAACTAAATGCTCCAGCCCCTACCTAACTGACAAAAATGACCTTGGTTCCCACGGGACAGTAAAATGTTTTGTTTAGTAGAAATCCTCCATCCCTCTCCCAATCCTGTGGCAACTTAGAATGAAGGAAATGGCTGCACCCAGGTTCATTGTAGAGTTGACAGCTCCTTAATGAAACATATACCAATATATTAATGTCAAGATATTGTCAATAAAGCCAATCTCTGTCTAATGCTATGGTGTAGTGATAATGTGAAGATTTATTCCAGTGTTTCTCAGTTTTGGCAGGTTGAAGATGTATAGACTTTAACTCCCAGTGTCATGCCTCCAGCATAGAGTTTGTATTTGTATATGCTGTTATTGTTCTGTAACATGTGTTGAGCTCCATCTAGTGACTAAAGACAAACCTTTCATTGTTTAGAAAGTTGGTTTTAGTAGTGTTTTGGCCCTACAGAGTACCCATCCTCCCTCATTCTGAAAAAAAACAACAGAGGGTGCATCCTGAGAAGCCAGATTTCATTTTCTAACATTCCGAGGAAACAGAAGCACCTGGAAGAACCCAGCCTAATCTGTGATGCATATTCATCAGAGGACAAAATCCATGTTCCATATGTATAGCATTGCTGGTGAGACTTGAACTTTATCTGCATTTGCTAATTGTTATGCTCACCAGCAACTCAACACTCTTTATTTTGCATTCAGGTTCTTACTGTATGTATTTCCATTTTTCCCAATTTCAACTCATCCTGTTCCTTCAATAAAGCATCAAGATATATGCACACAGTCTGGTTTGTTGAAGGATAGATGGGTTTAGCTGCATGTCAATCTACACACAGGGTAATGTGTAGTGAGGACAGAATACCCAGAGTTCGCCAGCCAGTATGGAAAAGAGGCTGCATGTCAGGTTGTAGCATTTTTCAACCTTAGCTTCACTAAATCAAAGAAAAGGGAGTAGATGCATGGAGCGCTAAGCTAATTGCACTCAATGGGACTGCCTATGTGAACCCAGCTGCAGATAAACCTACAAAGCTAAATGGGAAACCAAAGACTAGCTTTAAACTCTGTCTTGGGTGGTTGAGGATAGGTTTTCCAGTGTTGAATTTGAAGATTTCTTTGTTTCATCGTTAAGGAAATCCTGTTAATTTTACCTTTCAGCCTATTATAGGGTTTTTTTTAAATTACAAAACTTAGTGTTGACCTGAAAGATTAAGACAGGAATGGTGGATTCTATGGAAAATCTTGGAGATTTTAGTAATGGAAAAAATGAATTCTAGTCTTGACAGTATAGGAAAGTAAGAAACTGAGCATTTAAATGTAAGGAATATATCTAGTTGGATTGATTTGATTGGTCAGGACTGTCAAGGGAGTGGAATGTGATAGAGGGAAGGATTGAGTTATAACTTATAAGTGAGAAGTCAAGAGGGCATTCCAAGATCTTGATTGCTTCTCTTGGGTTGTTCAGATATTGGGTAGAACTTGAAGAGTCCCAATAAAAATTTCCAAATATTTCCACAAGTGTCATTTATTCATTACGTGGTTTGTAGCAGCTTTCCAACTTCCTGGATAATTTGCAATTTGACTCCACTAAATATTAGAGCATAGAATAACAGAGTTGGAAGGGACCTTGGAGGTCATCTAGTCCAACTCCCTGCATGAGCAAGAGAGTCTATACCATTTCAGACAAGTGGTTGTCCAGCCTCTTCTTGAAAACCTCCAGTGATGGAGCACCCACAGTTTCTGAAGGGAAGGCATTCCATTGGTTGATTGTTCTCACTGTTAGGAAATTTTTCCTTAGCTCTATGTTGCTTCTCTCCTTCATTAGTTTCCATCCATTGGTTCTTGTCTTGCCTTCTGGTGCTTTGGTAAATACTTTGCCCCCTTCATCTTTACGGCAGCCCTTCAAATATGGAACACTGCTATTGTATCATCCCTAATCCTTTTTGCTGAATGGAATGGAAAGAAAAAGCATGATGTACATTTTGAACTTTAATCAGCCACAGCAATACTCCGTATTGAGAAGAAAGCAGTTTATTATGCAAATGTGCAGAAGATTTATATCTCCACTACCAGTAAGATTCAGGTTTAGCATCAGATTAATTCTGAGAAACTGAGAGGATAGGAAGAGAGGACAGCTATGTTGCTAACTATGGACCTTATAGAGAAAGAGGATGGAATGAGGTCATGCAAATTGGAAGTGCAAAGTCACTGGCTTTAAAACAACATGTCCAGATCTAACAATTTTTGTTAAAATACATTTTCCTTTCAAAAGTAGGCTTGATATAATTGAAATGAAGAAATAAAGCAAAGTTGAGCTGAATTCTTGGTCCAAGTTTCCATGGTCGTCTTTAGGAGATGGGAGGCGAGTTTTACTTCTTTGTTTCTCATATAATCCTAATGAAGTGAACAGGAGCATAGTTGTCACAGGTAACACGAATGCGTCTTGTCTGCGGGATTCCTTTATAGTTACAGCGATAAGGAGGAGAGCCACCGGTATGATTGCAATCAACCAAATTGAAAGAAAATCTGCTGGTAATGGGAGTTGGGCTCCTGATGTTTTGGCAGATTTGTTGGACTAAGTTGTCAGGTGCATTGATAAAAGTGTTATGGGTTTTGCAACGAGGATTGGTCATGTGCCGAAACCGCATCTGGTTTTCACAATATAAGTTGGGGTTGAGAGGTGGATATTGACTGTTGCTGTCAATGTGCTTATTCTTGAAGGCTGCCCAGGTTTGCCCTTGGCTTGGCAAGACCAGAAGAGTCCCCAAAAGAAAAGCCAGAGAGACCACCAGCAAGCAGGAGATCTTGGAGGCAAGCATGATGGGAGACTCCAGGAATCTGCAGAGATCAGAAGCAGAAAAGAGATGATCATTCTGAGTGAGTCTGTGGCACCTTCATCCAACATTAAGAATTCTCAGTTATTGACAAGATATGCAGTTGAGCTGTGGGCCCTTGTGCTCTGAGCACTGAGTGGTCTCCTTATCTAGTACTAAATTAAATACCTGTGTATATACAGGTTGTCCTTGAGTTACAACAGTTCATTTACTGACTGTTCAAAGTTACAACGGCACTGAAAAATGTGATTTATGATGACTGTTTTTCACAATTACGACCTTTGAGCATCCCCATGATTAAGTGATCAAGATTCAGATGTTTGGCGACTGGTTCATATTTATGACCATTGGTAATGTGATCATCTTTTGTGACCTTCTCACGAGCAAAGTCAATGGGGAAGCCAGGTTCATTTATCAACCAGGTTACTAACTTAACAATTGCATTAATTCACCTAACAGCTATGGCAAAAAAGTTGTAAAATGAGGCAAACTCGCTTAACTAATGTCTCACTTAACAATAGAAATTTTGGGCTCAATTGTGGTCATAAGTTGAGAACTACCTGTATTTGTATGTGTTTGTGTCTATCTATAAACAAACAAGCACAGGTACATAAATAGACATACAGGTACACAAAGAGAGACATTTATACATATTCACAGAGAGATTTATGTATTAAGTCTAGTCACTATATAGTAGCTAGTTTCCGTTTCAACGATTATGAACGGATCATCAGGGGAATTTCATTGGAGAAAATGGATCAGAATGG